TCATCACTTTTTTCGATCATCATGCGACCGCTACTTTTTAGATTCTTTGCCCCTAATTTTTCGATCATCATGGGGGGGGCTGCCGCCCCCCCCCCAACCCCCCCGCTATTTTTTAGACTTTTTGCCCCTGATTGAATCATCACTTTTTCGATCATCATGGGGGGGCTGCCGCCCCCCCCCCCCAACCCCCCCCGCGCCTTTAATTGAATCATCACTTTTTCAATCATCATGGAGGGAATTGCCGCCCCCCCCCGCTACGTTTTAGGTGTTTTACAGGGATTAGTTTGCCCGTGTTTGAATCCTCACTTGTACCATGAGGCCTTGCCGCAGAGGAACTGATGACCCCCGGCTGTTTTTTTTTTTTTTGTTGGCCCTTTTTGAATCATCACTTCTTCAATCATCATGGGGGGGGCTGCCGCCCCAACCCCCCCGCTATTTGTTGGACTTTTTGCCCCTAATTGAATCATCACTTTTTCGATCATCATGCGACCGCTCCTTTTTAGATTCTTTGCCCTTAATTTTTTGATCATCATGGGGGGGGCTGCCGCCCCCCCCAACCCCCCCGCTATTTTTTACACTTTTTGCCCCTGATTGAATCATCACTTTTTCGATCTACAGGGATTCGTTTGCCCGTATTTGAATCCTCACTTGTACCATGAGGCCTTGCCGTAGTGGAACTGTTCACCCCCCGCTGCTTGTTTTATCTATATTTTTGGCCCCAACTACGTTTTAGGTGTTTTACAGGGATTAGTTTGCCCGTATTTGAATCCTCACTTGTACCATGAGGCCTTGCCGCAGAGGACCCCCCACTGTTTTTGTTTTTGTTTTTGGCTTTTTTTAACATTTGTTTTGGCCCTTTTTGAATCATCACTTCTTCAATCATCATGGGGGGGGCTGCCGTCGTCACTTTTTCAATCATCATGGGGGGGGCTGCCGCCACGTTTTAGGTGTTTTACAGGGATTAGTTTGCCCGTATTTGAATCCTCACTTTTACCATGAGATGCGGGAAGCCAATTTGCGGGTGATGCTGGGGATGTTGGCTGGACATGCGGGGGATGTTGAAAACGATGCTGATGATGTTGACGGACTAGTGTAAAATACGTACATTTCGCGAGAAAATGCTGTAAATTACAGCATTTTAGTAGCCAGGACGGAAAACAAAAAAAATCCCAAAATAAAACACAACAAAATCCCAAATTAAATCTCGACCCTTTCTTTATGCAAGTAATGCGCGCAAACGTGTTGCCCCTATCCTTCTGCTTGGCCCAACTTTGCAGTGCTTTGTGAACAAGTGAGCCCCTGATCGAATGGCATCAATGCCGCCAATCGAACTTGAGGATCGGGAAGTCGTTCTTTAGCCTTGTGCGGCAGAGCAGCGCAGCCTCATTCCGACGAACCATGCAGGCCCTCGCCATTGGCACAGGTGGCATCAGCTTGCACGTAGTATCCTAGAACTGGGTGGCTATTTGTCCGGAGGGCAGGAGACTGCTGCCCATGCGCAGGAGGGGAGGCAAGAGTTGGTTGCCTGAGTGCGGCCTTTTATCTAAGCTGTTCTGATGGGCAGGCTGAAAGCACGTTGCGCTGACAGCGTTGGATGCCAATGTCCTGTGAACAATCTTGTTCATTGTGTGAGTTTCTCTTGAGGCTTCCTGAATTCCCCGAATTGTGTTTCAGCGCCGGGCTTGCTCGGCAATCGGGGGAGAGCATGAGAAGGCGATTGGCTGCGACCCAGCTGTGTGAGAGACTGGCAAAGGAAGATGGTTGACAAACCACGCGAGAGGTTCTCAAATTTAGGGGTCCTGGTCCGTTTATTCTTCTTGGCGGCGCACGGGGCAAGGTCCGAAAAGTGGCTATCACCTTGGCCTGTCAGATAGCCGCCAGGTCAACCAAGCCATGGCGGAGGGCAGCCAGTGCGATATCCCCAACTTCCTGGCAAGGACTTTGGCACGTGCCCTGGCGCGCGATGGGGCCTTGGGATGCCCTTTGGGACGCGGCCTTCCTCCTCAACGCAGGGAAGCCCTCCTGGGATGTTTGGAAGAAAACGAAACGGCAAGCAATCTGAAGGGGTGCCTAATTTGATAGACATGAACCTTCGACTGTTCAGTGGCAGTGACTACAGTTTTGAACTAAGGGGGTCAAATCGCACTTGCTGGGATGGGTGTGAGTTTGTGATTCCTGGTTTGATTTTGTTTGGTTTGTCGGCGCTTGCTTGGCTGGCTGGCGCGGGTGCCTAGCTGGCTGGCGCTGGTGCCTGGCTGGCTGGCGCTGGTGCCTGGCTGGCTGGCGCGGCTGGCTGGCTGCGTGCTTGCCTGCCTGGTTGGTTGGTGGGTTGGTTGGCTGATTGGTTGATTGGTTGGTTGGTTGATTGGTTGGTTGGTTGCTTGCGTGCTTGCATGCTTGGGTGTTTATGGGCTTGCTAGGTTCCCCTCTTTGTTGTTTTTGTTGTTTGCTTGCTTGCTTGCTTGCTTGCTTGTTTGTTTGTTTGTTTCTTTGTTTGTTTGTTTGTTTGTTTGCGTGTTTGATCGTTTGTGTCTATTCCTTTACGATTGTTTGTTTAGGTTTGTGTGGTTTGCCACGTGTTGGAAATGTGACTTGGGAGGGAGCGTTGGCGATCGAACAGCGGCGTTCGGCTCAAATTTGGACCCGTCGCGGTCTTGGATGAGTGTCGCTGGACGCTCACGTCGGTTGGCTTCGTGTTGGTGGAGAACGGGACATCAGCCCATCGTGAGTTGGTTGGGCTTTTCCGTGTGGTTCATCGTTGGCCTAGGCCGCCCATAGCCCTTTTGCTTTTCCTGGTTTGGTTACTTTCTTGTGGTTGCGGTGGTTGCGTCGGAACCTTGCGCTTTGGTGCGGGGAATTTGTTACTTTGGGTCGTTCGTTTGCGGCTTGCTTAACTTTATTTTCCACTTGCCCCGCAAGGCCCCCGCCCAGCTCACAGGTCATCAGCCGTAGGACTCTCCTACGTGCTAGTGACCTACTTCGAATACAAAGACGGATCAGGAGGCCGTTCTCTCAGGGAAACTCACGTGCCATGAGCCAGCGGAGGTTGAGGATGACGCTCCCGCGAGGGACGCATCCCCGACTTTCAGGCTGCTCAGAAGATGAAAGTAGTTTCAAGGCATTTTGCCAAGCAGCGCAGCCCAGCAGCCAGAGCAGGGCCATGCACTGCACAGCGTTGGTGCGGGTGGTGGTGGATGCCGCGAAGGTCGCCGCAAAACCAAAAACTTCAGCACAATGGCATGCCCAAACGCAGTTGGTGCGGATGACACGCCGGATGATCGCACCCTCCTGTACTTGCTTGGGGACGACATGATCGCACCCTTCAAAACGTTTGGCTACACAGGCCCCAAATGCACCTCCATTGTGAAACCACTTGCGCGGAGGCGCGGAACGAAGGGAGGCTGCCTCTTTTGGGCTTTCGTAGTTGCAAGCCCTTCCTGACCAGGACGTGCAGATCCAAGGCAAAGCGAAGCATCGGCTACAGCTGATTGAGGGAATGCGGCCGGCCACCAGGGCTGCCATCATGAACCAGCATGGCTGGGGAACTGGCAAGCGCGGGTGGACGACACAGTTGTTTGACATTCCATCCCTCCGTGTTGGCAAGCCAGTCCATTAGAGCACCAACTGCGACTTGGAGAGCGTCATGTGCACAACGGAGGAGGCCCAAGATGCTTTTGGGCGCACGGCAGCTAGCCTTGGTGAGGTTGGCCTTGACGAAGCCCAGCGATACCTGATCAGTTCTTGCCAGCCACATTTGCTCCAAAGCCTTTGTGCCTGCCAAGGTGCCTTCTGCTGATCGCGATGCGTGGTTTCGACGTAGCAGTACGACTGCGCTGCTGGACACGTACTTCGAGGGCGCGTTCGCAGAGCTCATCGGGGATACGGGTAACCGCCTCGCGCTCTCTGGCTTGGACTGCGTCCAAGTTTCCCAGCATCAAGAAGTTGCTTGCTCCGAATTGCAGCAGCTGCTTCCAGTGTTGCTGGCGGACTTGGACTTCAGCGCCTGGAAAGCAACCAGGTACAGGAGAAAGTGTGGCAGATGCAGGTGGACAGCTACATTCTCGACCTGCAGTCGGATGTCGGCTTGTACGAGAAATGGAGTGGCAGCTAGTCAACATGCTGAGCAAGTACCACCAAGTGACGCACATTCCGAAGACTGTGCGCACATGTTGGTGCAGCATCACGGTGATGTACCCAGCTCCCAAGTCGCAAGCTTGTTTCTGGCAGACATGCGGTCCCTCGGCTCCCTGAGCAACACTGCCCTTGAGCGTGCTGTCACGACATCCCTGTCCTTCCCAGGAGCTCTCAACCGCTTTAGAGGCGGCTGGCAACAACAGCAGCAGTGGAGACGAATCCGGCAGCGACGACAACCAGGACGGCAGCGCAGCCTGCCAGTGGTGCTAGCAGTCTTCCCAGCGTGAATTCTGCTGGGAGTTGCTCAGAAGAGACAACTCCTTTCTGGCGACGAACGTCGCATGCGCCGGCAGATGGAGGATTTCTTGAAGGCGTTCTGCATACATCCCCAGTCCCATCAGTCCAGCGGGCAAACGCCACAGTCAGGCGGGCTTGGTCCAATGGTTGGTTCTTTTAACTTGCACCTGAGAAATTCTGAGCTTTTACGACATTAGCGCACGAACAAAGCCAGCATCCTGGCAACCAGTACTACGGCTCTCTCGCAAAGAGTGCACATAGAGTTGCATCCGTATGTTCAGCAAAACAACAGGCGCTACTTTGCTGGCTAACTTAGCGCTTCGGCAAAGATTCCGGCTCTGCAGCGGTTCGCCATGGCCCAGAAGCATTGCGTGCTTCGGTACACGTTTCACGGCGATCATGCTTGGCGGCTGCGCGCGAATATCGAGGTTATTGTCCCCTACGTGCTCTCCCAAGAGAGTTGGATCTAGAATGATCTAGAAGTCCGAGGAGGCCCTCAGGCGCTAGTTTAAAGCCGTTGGGTCTGTTTTCTCAAAGAAAAAGCGCGGGGTCAAATGGCTGGCTCAAATGGCTGAGGGGACGTAGCTGGTGGGGGTGTTGCTTGTAATGCTGGCAATGTTGCTTAGGCTTTTGTTCAAGGCAAAAACTCTAGGAGTTTTTGTCTTGAAAAACGGCAGCGGTCCTTGCTGGTAATGCTGGCGATGTTGCTGGGGCGGCAACAGTCCTTGCTTGTGATGGCGGGGGTGTTGCTGGTAATGCTGGGGATGCTGCTAGGGCTGTTGTCACGATAAAAGCTCCAGGACCTGGAGTTATTGTCTTGAAAATCGGCGACGGTCCTTGTTTGTGATGCTGGGGGTGTTGCTGGCAATGCTGGCCATCTTGAACCGGATCATGGCCATGATCTGGCAGAAAAGGTTTGGACCGTGACCGTCAAAGATTTGATCGGCTGGGGCGAGCCCTGGTGAAGAGGACAGAGATGATAATCGGAGCAGAATGAGGAGGACCGTGGTCGGGATCGACGTTGCTATGACTGGCGCGATGTCAGCGAACCAAAGACTCTCTATGCTTTCGTGGTTTCTGATACCAATGAAATCTCACTGTGCGTCCTGCTGTTTGTGGAAGGGTGCGAGATTTAAGTCTTACCAGCTATTAGCACGCTCCGCCCGTCAATAGGATGTTTCATGGAAATGTCATGTGAGAGGGGGCGTTAACGAGCGACCGGTGGCGTTTGGCTCACGTTTGGATCCGTCGCGGTCTCAGAGAAGCGTCGGGAGTTTTTTTCTTATGTAGTTCACCGTCGGCCCGGTAGCCCTGTTTCTTCTCCTGGTTCGATTACTTTGTTGTGGTTGTGTTGGTTGCTGGTACGTTGGAACCCGGGGTTGTGGAAACTGGGGGCTCGTTGCTTTTGGGTCTTTCTTTTGTGGCTTGTTTACCGCCCACGTGCAAGACTCGCGCCAAACTCACAGCTTGTTTGTTGCTTGTGTGTTGCGTATGTTGTTTGGTCCTGTTGTTTGTTGATTGTTTGTGTGCTTGTTTAGTCTTATTTGGGTTGTGTGTGTGTGTTACTTGTTTGTTTGTGTGTTTGTGTGCTTGTGTCTGAGTGTTTGCGTGTGTTTGTTCGTTTGTTTGTCTGTTTCTTTCTTTCTTTCTTTCTTCCTTCCTTTCTTTCTTTGCTTGTTTGCTCGTTCGTTCGTCTACGCGACCCACAACTGTTCCCCACCCTTTGCCATTCGGAGTGGAATTCGTTAAGCTGCTGCCGGTCAAGTCATACCAGTGTTGACACGTTGGCCCGACATCACACGTTGCAGCGAGAAGGTAAAAGTAGCCACCATGACATTCCCAGGTTCAAGGGTGGCATAGGGTGGCCAAGTCGCGGATTGTTTGCTTTCACAAATGGTTTTTGCACACGTGCGGGTCAAATGGGATTCTGCTGCTTTGAGGGCCGAAGTACCCCAACAAACCACCCCTACACACGGTGTTCCGCCTTTTGGTCGTTCGGGGCTTGGGTTGTTCCCAAAGAAGGCTATGAGCTGGTCGCACCGGACGGCAAGTCGGTCGACGTGGTGATCTCTACAGCACACCTGCCCGGAGAGCACAAAGGCGGGTGACCCCAAGCATCAGTTTCTCTTGTGGTTTCCCTCTAGCCAAGAAGGGATCCTACAGCCCCTGAAGCCCCTCGAGGCGGAGCCCTTGAAGGTCCTTGAGGCCCTTAAGGCCCGTAGCTCCTCAAGCCCCTATACAAGGCCAAGATTACGCGACCAATGTGAGAAGGGTGCTCAGTTTTGAGTGCCAGTGGGTTGCACCACCGCTCAACTCGAGCGCGCTCACTCGATTCCCTGGGCAGTTTCTTTCTACAAGCGCATCGTTTCCTGCCGCACAGCTGTTTCTATCAAGCTTTGGAGGGTCCAACGTAGAAGACCCCTCAAGTTCCTGGCTTGTTTGCCAGTTTTGGCCTGCAGCGCAGAAGGCTTGCTCGCGCGGATCCTTCAATGTCGCGCGAGCCGGATGTCATGGAAACCTTCCCTGAGCCGCGCATCGTGCGGTGCACCCATGATGGTGGCACCTTTCGTTTTGGGCAACCGCCTTCACTTTACCAATTTGCACCGGCTGCTAGCTATTTTGCAGGGGCTATGTGAGACATGTTGTCGGGAGTTGCGCGCCTTAAGACGGTTTCTAGAGCCTGGGCTGTGGCAAACGCATCTACACTTTTGCAAGTCTTTTGCAATACCGTTTGGGAAAGCACAGCCTTCAATGACTAATCCTGCAAACAAGCAAGCGATGAAGATATTGGCTGTCCCGTACGCTCGGCCACGGCAACCAGCCACTCAACCACTCAGCCACTCAGCCACCCAGCCAACCCAGCCACCCAGCCACTCAGTCACTCAGTCACTCAGTCACTCAGCTTGAGTGGCTGAGTGGCCGGAACTCTGTCTTTCCTAAGTGGCTGAGTTGGGTGAGTAGCTGCGCGAAGATTCCACCCGGCTTCCTCATCCTCCCTCAAATATGAATGTCTTCAAGTCTTAAAGTCTTAACACCTTAAAATATTCATGGCAGAGCATGTTCAAATATTAATGAAGGAGCACCTTCAAATAGTCATAGATGAAAACCTGGAAAGCCTTAATGGCTTAAAGTCTTACAATCTTAGCGTCTTAGCACGTTAAACCATTCATGACTTAAAGTATTAGCACCCCAATGGCTTAAACTCGTAAAATCTGAATGGCTAAAATCTTACCGGCTCAAGGTCTCAAGGTCTTAAAGTCTTGATGGCCTCAAACGTGTTGAAACCTTAATGGATGAACATATTCAAAGCCAAATGGCTTCAAGTCTCAGAATCTTAATGGCTTCAAATATTCAATCTGAACTGCTTACAAGCTCAACTTATGCATTATTGAGAGCCTTAGCATCCGAATGCATTAAATGTAAAAAGCCAAGTGGCTCAAATTCTTGCTAGCTTGAAGTCTGAACAGGTTGATGGCTGAAGACCTTAAAATCTGGCCGGAGCAAACTCTGACAACTCTGAATGGCTTAGTAAAAACCTTGAGCCTGAAAGTCTTTAAAGCTGTGAACACCTTAATCGCTTAAAGTCTTTAAATCTGAATGGCTGAAAGTCTTGGATGCCACAAGACACGAATAGCGACCTTTCATTTCACCGGCTGACAATATGCACTACATGCGGACATGGGTGGATTAACTTTCGCTCGTTGAACGGATACCCACCTACTAGATATGCCATGATAGGTTGCGATGAGTTCTAACAATTTTGCACGACATCCAGTATGAGATCGCTGACAGCCCGGAGTCTGACATCAAGACTTATGAGTGTACGTCTATTCAAAGAAAAGGTACCGCATGATTTCGCTTAACAAAAAGCAAGAAAGAAATAAACACAGACTCAACTATCCAGCACAAAAACCTACATTGAGAAAAAAGAGTCGACTCAAAAACACACCAGACCAAGAAAACACCAGACTCAGGAAGAGAACAACAACAACAACAACAACAACAACAACAACGACGACGAAAACGACGACGACGACGACGACGACGACGACAACAACAACAACAACAACAACAACAACAACAACAACAACAACAACAACAACAACAACAACAACAACAACAACAACAACAACAATAACACATCGAAAGGCGAGTCCCCCTAGCCTTCCGCGCCCCCGAGTCTGAAATTGAGTCCAAAATTGTTTTGTTTGATTGTGTATTTTTTCGGTGTGTGTTGATTCTGTTTGTTGTTTTGTTTGATATGTTGTTGTTTGTTTTTCCGAGCCCTTTTTTTCAGTCCGATTTTGTTCTGTTTTTTTTGCATACGGTTGTTTGCGGCGTTTGTTGTTTTTTGGTTTAGTTTTGTGTCGGCTCTTTTCTTTTTTTTTTGGGGGGGGGGGGGAGGGGGTGAATTTCCATTAAAATCAACTTCATTTGGCGAAGCCATTCTTTTTTACACATGGCTACGATGATAATGTAGAATTCAATCCGGGGGATGTCGCTGCGTCGCGAAAATAGCATGACTGTCGGGCTTTTATAACATATCCACGTCCCGGCAATCGGAGATGCGTTGGAAAACCACCCATATACAACGGAAAATATGCGTTGTTATTTGCCGAAGGCTAAGCCACCCTTATGGGGACTGTGTTTTTGCTCTCGGGCGGCTGTGGTGTGGGCATTTTGGACAGCTAGATGGCATGTCATTTTTGTTGAAAGGCGGTTTTGCCGATCGCAATGCGTGGTTCGCCGGGGGCGAAGCATTATTTTGCCAGTAACGCTCTTTTAATCGCCTTCGTTGTAGCCAGCGCAGTGGCTTTGTAATTTAGAACGCTTGCGCATGCTAGTGGACAGCGAGGAGCTGCAGCATTTTTTTATGGTTTTCCAGCAGGACTCAAGTCCGGCGCGGCAACCAAATATGGGGATATTGTGGAGAGGGGGGTGGATACAGCATTGGTGGGCGTGTAGGCAAGAAACTGCAAGACATGGTGCGAAAACTGCGAAGCGACAACATGCACTCCCCGCATGCTGGCTGCACATTGCGAATTGCCTTGAGCTGCTTTGACAGAAAGGATGGGACAATGGACCGGCACCCTCTTGCACACCCACATATACCCCGGCGCCTCCCGGCGCGCACACCATCCGCCCACGAGCTCGGCGGCAAGCTTATTAACAATAGAAACCTGTAATCTGCACGTTGGTTCCCTATTCATTTTGATAGGCTGACAAATTTCGCGGGATCCCCACCGTCTTACAAAATGGAGTTGGGGGGAAGGGGCTGATCCCTGGAATGCGTTTCCTGTTGTGGGGGATTCTAAAGACTCGAAAATTCGGCGGCTCCAAGCATGGAGTTTGGAGGATTCCCCCACCCCCCCTCCCATGGGATCCCATGGGGGTCATCGGACCCGCAGTCGGCGAGCGCCACATCTTGCTGCTGCTGGTGGAGCAGCCCTCGGAACGGCTCCGCGGGCAGTACTCGGTGGCCAGCAGCGACGTGTGCCCCTCCGAGCCTCGACGTGCCAAACAAAAGTGCGGCTCAAAGACCCAGACATCCCCCGGCGGATGTGTTTTGAGCAAACGAGCAAACGAGCAGGATTGTTTAAACAAGCCAAAGAGCAAATTGGAGGTTTCGCAGGCAGATAGTGTGGTTTTCATCTACCTGGGGGTTGGGGGCTGCCCCTATTTTCAATTGAAACGAAAAGCAAAGCAGCCGTTTTAGGAAACCACTAGTTGAGTTGAGAAACATCAACGTGAAGGTGCCAAACCAGATCAGAGGCTATCAAACAAACCAAGACAAGAAGATCATGCATGGCATTGTGCTTGCTCAGGTGAAGAGGAGCGTGGGCAGGCAGTGTCAGAAACCCACTGCAAGCCAAGCCACCAAATAGAAAGATAATACTGTTTGCTTTCCTAATTGTTTCGCATTTGGGTGTTCCACCGTATGCATCCCAAAAAGCACTATCAAGTGTTTCCATGTTGCTGGTTTGCGGCCAAGTGCGTCCATCTTGTTCAATCGATTGAAGGCAACCATCGGACGCAAGGGCATGCCACACGCGCTCAGCCGAGGACAGCGTGAGCGTGGGGCGGCGAAGGCCGCAGCTCATGAGCAGCGAGGCGCAGCGCACCAAGCTGAGAGCCTCCTTCTTCTCCAGCTCCAGGCAGTCTGCCAGGCGCATGTGAGTTGGACCGAATGGGTTCGCCCCGATTGGGGGGGAGGATGATCGATCGGAATGGGTCGAGGGATATGATAGTCCTGGGAATTCCATAGTTCCATGTCCCTGTCGGGAAAAGAGAGACATTGAAATGGGGCAAGGGCTACGCGGCTACCCCGTTTTCCTTTGTGAAAAGACCACTCAAAAATGGAATGGATGCCTGTGTGTGTCTTAATACGGGAACCTAGTGGCCATCAATTTAGTAAAGCGGGAATTGTGCATGGATTCATCTCACTGATGTCAGGGAACCGCTGGAACTGCTGCCGGCGTTTGGGGCAAGACATGTGTCAACCGGGGAAACATTGAATGACAATCCAGTTGAATAATGCATCGTTGGCAGGCGCCTGCCATTTGAGGAGCCCCCTTCTGCTCCTTCATCCAACCCCGGAGCAGATTCGGAAGGGTGGCACCTTTCGGGTCCGTTCTCACTATGAAACACTTTGCAGCGACATGTGTGTTGCAGGCTTATTTGTTAATAATTGGTCAATGACTGTACGTACGATTGCTTGAACGGAGGCGGTTTCATGGACTTATGCATGTTACCATGCTTTGTTTCAGTTAAGCTGGTTGTTGTGGTCAGCCACTTTGGCTGGTTGCCTTGCTGGCCCACTTCGCATTTGCTTCTTTTGCGTTTCGATTGCGTAGTTCAGGCATGTTCAGGCACGTAGGTTGTGAGTCATTTGTTCTTGTTGGGGCGTGACGCTGCCGCGGATGGTGGGCCATATCTACTGGGACACTCAGGCCGGTGTCCTGACAATCCTTGATTTGGGTGCTAGATAGCCCATAATTTGTAGTTTACCGAAAAGCAAACCAAACGGGGATGGGTCATGTTTTTGCCGGACTCCCGAATTTAGCACCCAATTAGGTTGGCGAGCATTGATTTACTCACGTTCCAGCAGCAGCTGTGTGGCCACAATGTGAGCACTTGATCTCAATTTCATGCCACGACTATCGACCGTGAAGCGTCAAAATCTGTGTATCCGATATGAGGTGGGGGAATGCTGACACCTTTCCTTACGCCGGAAGGCCTGCCAAAGTTCCTTAATCAGCACGCCAAGTTCAACTGCCAGATATTCAGAATTATATATATATATATTTATATATTTGGCAGATAGATATGTACATATACATATATGCATATGCGTGCATATAACTGCAATTGTTACACAATATTACATGTGTGTACATTGTAGGAGGAGGGGTTCGGAAACGTCGACTGCCAAGCCTGTAAGCGCTTCAGCTCCCAAGCAAAGGAGCGTTTGTGTCGCGCGCCTAAGCCTTTGCGTACCTAACCAGCACTGAAGGCTCTAAGTCTCTCAGTGCCGTGGCTGTGGAAAACATTGGACGGTGAAGTCAGGGCAATGCAAGCACCTCAGAGTTGTTGGATGATTTTGAGTCGGCCATGCAAGTTCCCAGGCTTTCGAGAGCGCAATGGCCCTGTTTAGCCTTTGCCAAAGTTTGAATGCCCTTCTACGAGGAGTGTTTTTTTCCCAGGAGGCACCACAGAGAAAGTTCGGAAACATGGCGAGAAGGTCTCGGCTTTTTGTGTGTGCTTCCCCATGGAAAGTGCGCTCAGAGAGCCAAAGCTGACTTGCACAGGGTGTCGACTTCCTCAGAGTCGCCATCCCCTCGCAGTTCATTGTGCAAGTGAATCTTGATGAGCCCGTTGCGTTTCCAAGATGCTCCGGCCACAGCTCAGATCCTGATAGCTGATAGCTGAATAGTGCTATTCGCCGGCTTGAGTTTCGAGGCGGCTTGAGTTTCGCTGCCTTGGCTGTTTCCGCCCGCTTGCATGATATCATATCCCCACCCCTCTAGGGTCCGGAAATTGGGGGGGAACGTCTGAAAATGTAATTTGCATTTTCGGCCCTTTTCCCCTCAAACAATGTAAGGGACACCTTTTGTTGGGGAGGGGGGGAGGGGGGGCGGGGGGATTAAAATGCGGCTTGCCACTTGGGCATTCAGAAAGTTACTCTCCCCCCCCTCCCAAAAAAAAAAGAGAAAGAACTGATTGACATGTTCAAGCATAATCGAGGATCTCCGTATACTTCCCATGATGTTTCTGGGAAGCTTGACAGGGCGGGTCAGTGTTGAATGGGGGGGGGGCGGTCAAATGTAGTGCACTGACCCACCCCTCCTTTTTTTTGTTGAAGTCAGTGGATGACACATGTCGCATTGGCCGGGCAGCACTGACCGTGCAGGGAAACAGCGCAAGCAGAGAGAATAAGACAACACATGTTATTACAATATAATACAATATCATACTTTATAGTAGAAGACCCCGTCAAACCCCAATTGGAATGATTGCGTTCTATGGCGTTCTGTGGCATGAAACATCTTTGTGCAAAGCCAGTTTCGCATCATGTCCAATCTCATCCAATCTTTCCAAGTGCTACTCAAGCACCTGAAAAATGTAATATTACAATTTTGTGAAAGTGTAAGCTAGATATGTGTGAGGTACGTTGTTGATGGGCCGACCAGCGTCCAAAATGTAATCTTGCATTCTGGCACGTCTCCAGAAGAAAATCTAAGCTTATGTTTTAAGGTGGTAAACCCCAGAAAATGCAAATCACATTTCCAGACCTCCCCCCCTTAACGGGGTCGGGCTGATATGATGAACCGCTTGCCAGGGCGAATCTGTTTTGCTTGTGCGGCGAACTTTTGCACAAGGCCTCCCCAAACTGGTGGGAAGTCAGCATGTTGCCCGCCACACAAGCAAGGCGTTGGGCAGGTTGTCCATCCTCTTTTGGCTTGACGTGGATGCGGTTACCATCCGCTCAAAGCCGCGAACCGCCCGACTTTTGTATAGTAGAGGCGTGCCGGCAGCATTTTCTCGGTGGGTCGGATTTTCGAGCCTGAGTATTCCTGGTATGGACTGATCATTTCAATCATTTTTGGCCAGCAGCAAACACCCATGAAGGCCCCATGCCCCGGCGAGCATTTGGGTTACGACTGAACCAGCTGCTTCTGCCCGGAAACATTAGGACGCATGAGAGAAGTAAGCCTGGCTTGGTTAATTGCAAGCACTCCACAAAGGGGGCTGTGTACTCGGCGAAGAGCGACTTGCGTCAAGCGCAGGCAAGCTGAGGGGCCAAAACGCTCAAAATCCTGGATCCTGCTACTCTTTATTGGATGCGCAAGCAAGGAAACAAATGCGGGCGTGCAAGGGAGGCTGCGGAGACTCTTTTCGGGGAGGCCTTTGGTCGCGAAGCTTAAGTTTGGGTTCGTTTGACCAACCTCTCTTTTGGATGAAGGGGCTCACCGAAAAGCAATGGGAAGCATGCCGAAAGAGTGAAGACTGGAGAGGACTTCTACTCTTCGCATGTGAACATAAAGGACCCTTCGATGCCTCGACTTGCTGGTTCTCAGCAAGTGATTTTCTTCGGGGATAAAGCAATGGATTCCTTGAAGGCAACCAAAAGGGATGCTTCAGTTCGGGGTCATTCCCGCGAACTCCCATGGAACCATCAACTTCCCGCAGGACCGAGTGAGCGATACCAGGCGGGCGCGCATGCGTAGCGCAGCATGCAGAAGCGGCCGAAGTGATTTTCCCACCTCGCGGGCGCGCTTTTGGGCATTTTGCAAAATGGCCCCCAAACATGGTGGGAATCCTTGTGGTGTCCCTTTAGTTGTGAGCAGCCATGAGTTGGGCACCCCAAAGCGGGTATGTCTTATTTGCTTTTGGCTTTCCTTTTATCCAATCCCAAAAAAGTGCCCTGAACAAACACGCACACTCATGTTGCTCTCACCTGGGCTGAAAAAAATACCCCGCGCCTTTTCGTTATGTAAGGGGCCGTCCCTTAACTTGTTTCGCAGGCCAAAACCATTGTAAACCGATACAGAGGAAGAACAACCGATACCCCCAGAAGCCATGAAGACACACATCAGGTCCAAGTTGTCGTCGCAAGCCAAGATCGCTGAATCATAAATTTGCAGGGCCCAAACCGATACCCAAACCGATACCCAGCCGATGCCCAACTCAGTGGCCGCCACGCCGAATCCAACCAACTGCCCTGCAGCCTTCCCTGGAGCTGCCAAAATGCACTTTTTGTACCACATTTGTAAAGAAAAACTTACTTGCACTGAAAAGCTGCGATTCGAGCCGGAGCTGCCAAAGTCTACTGCGCAGACTACTGACAAGTTGCGACTTTCGAGCTGGAGCTGCCAAAATGTACTTTGCTTACTACACTTGTACTGAAAAGTTGCAACTTTCCAGCTGGAGCTGGGAGCTGGCAGAGTGTACTTCGCATACTACACTTGTACGGAAAAGTCACGACTTTCGAGCTAGAGCTGCCAAAGCACTGCACACCGATGCAGAGGAAAAAACCGATACTGGCCGATACTAGGGCATAAGGATACAAGGGTTGTCCACGGGGTTGTTTTTTCAACCCACCTGAGGCCTTTCTCAGTTGCAATGTGTGCTTTGCCAAGATAGACTGTGTGGCAGGGGCAGCGTTTTCTGAGTCCAAAGCTGATGCAAACATGTCATTCAAAGTCATCTTGAAGCTAGTTATGCAAGCCTCAAGGCCGTTGGGGGGAAGAGGTGTCCAGCGTAGAGCCGGCACAAGCAGTTCTGTAGAAATCAGGCAGGCCTGCGCATGACAAGCAGAAGAGCCACTTTTTTAATGTTTCTACCATTGCTCGGGGAAGAAGCAAGGCAGTTGCCCGGTGGCACCTTTGGTCCTTTGCTTTTGGGCTTCCTTCAAATTTGACCTGGGTTCCTTCCATTCCCTGACTGCTGGCCAATCAGTATGACATTCCTACAGGGGATGGAAACAGTGGAGAGCAAGGGCAAACATCAACATCCACAAGCGCGTACGGCCAGGCTTAGCTTCCGCGCTCAGGCAGTGGGGGGATTACTTTGTGATCGGGTCTGCCGATGCCTTCTGCCAACTTTGTACAGGTCACCATATGAAGCTAGCCATTTACGTGTGTTCTCTTTTTTGACTCTTTGCGCACTGCGCGTGGCCGTTTGTTGGATGTCAACACTGGAATTGAGCTCGGCGTTTCTAGTGAACTGGGTCCTGGCCTCGTTCACAAAACCCTCTGGACGATCATGGCAAAATAAATCTTGTCGGTCGCATTCGGGCGACAGCGAGTCGTAATGGGCAAAGTTTGTCACGTCATGCATTCTTGGGGGGAATTCCACCTTTGTATACCCTTTCCCCCGGCTGCTGAGTTGCCAAACAGTGCCACCCCATTAGCCATTGCGATCTCAAGTTTAGCGTGATTCGGCTGTCAATGCCGTTGCAAGACACAGAATGCCATGCAGCTTTACGACGCTGGCGCGGCGTGTTGCTGAAGCCAAAGCAGACTCCCCTTCCATGTTTTCCTCCCAAAGGTCAAACCAAGAGCTGTGAGGGCAACAAGACTATCCGCTTGTCGTCGCCCCACACTGAGGAAGGCATACTGCGCAGGAGAGGTTCCGTGCAGTCGGATGTGGAGAAGGAGCTGGGGGCTAGACATGCATGCACAGCGAGACTATGCGCAAAGATGCCTGTGGGCAAACACTGCTATGAGGCTTGCCCTGAAAAGCGATTGTTTGAAGTGCGCTGCCAGGCATCAACCAGAGCATTTCTCATCAGTGCTCATCAGAGCAGGTGCGTGTTTGTCCCACTGTTGCTTCACATGCTCTATCACTTCCAAGGCGCATGCCATACTTTCAGTGCTAACATTGCCACTGCCAAGCTTTCTGTAGATTGTGTTCATCAGACGTGTTGAAAGCAGGTCAGGTCGAAGTTCTGCTGCAGACTGAAGCACGAGGGCCAGATGTCGGGATCTAAAATAGACACGGAGAAGCAATCTGCACACCGCCCAATACAATTGCGAATGCTGTAATCATAATTTTGCTACTGGTTATTCTCCAGAGTTGTTTGAGAGTGGCTCTGCCATTGCCTTGTGTTTCCCAGCTTTGAGTTTAAAGCTGGCCCTGCCCAACCAAAAAAACGTGTGACACCATGCTGATCACTTGCGAGTCCAGGAGCCAAAGTCGGCCTTCCTGGCCGCGCAGGACTCGAACTCAGTTGAGTCCCGGCAGCCCAAGAGTTCTGAGGCCCCCCCCTTCCCAAGTCAGTGGGACTGTGCGAGGCCTGACATTCGCTCAGATCATAGGACCTGCGCCCTTGGAAAGCTGTGAGAGGATGGCAGCTTGTGGCTGGTCCTTTGACACGGATTTGGCAGCGAGCGCAGGCAAATGAAGCTTGTTTTTGTTCCGTAGGCTGGGGTCGGTTTCTGTTGTTTTGGTTTAGGGCCTGCTCACCTTTATTCCAACGATTCATGGTCATTGAACGCGTCTTCTCACATCGGCTTCCAGGGCAACAGGACCAATCAGAGGAATACATGAATTGTCCAAGTAGACATGTCATGTCTGCAGTTTGGGGAAGCCGCCGCATCTTCCTAGCCATTCAGGCAAGGTGTTCAAGGTTTTTTCGAGAGCAGCCGCTAGCCGCTAGCATTGTAAAAGCCAGCACATCTTGCCAAGAACAACATGCAACAGGCAACGCTTCACGCTTTGTTGATATCGAACTTGCTTTTCAGAGCCTTGTGTCGGCTTTTCAGGTCTCCACACCACTGTCGCCTCCAATAGCCACACCGCTGTCGCCGCCGATAGCTCAGCCGTGCTTGCTGCCCCCCTGCTTTTGCCGGAACTGCCCTTCCCAAGCTTGCACAGGGGTCCCTCAAAAGGAAACCAGTCTTCCCCGGCCCGCCCTACAGGTTCCATGTTTGTTTTGGAGTGTGTGTGTGTATTCTCTCCGTGTTTCGGTTGTGTTTGTTTGCCACAGTCTCTCTGTTTCTCTGCACCTCTGCGCCAACAAGTCTATGACATGCCTCCATTTTGCACATCCAATTTTGTCCAGTAG